AGCTCAAACTAAAGAAATGTAACTGAAGTAGGGACTTCATTAATAATAATCTATTGTGTCTGGGAGGGTGTAGCTCAGTCACAGAGTGCTTGACTAGCATGCATGAGATCTTGGGTTCAATCTCCACTACTGGCAAAATATAATTAAAAGAAATAATGTATCAATATTGGCTCATTAAATGTAGCAAACATAGTAAGAGAAGAGGTCAACCATAATGGAAACTAGATTTGAGCAAATATATACTCTCTGTACTAAAATCTCAATTTTTCTTTTTTTTTTTTTTTTTTGGCTTTTCTGAGAGAGTGTCTCACTCTGTAGCCCAGGCTGACCTGGAACTCACTAGGCTGGCCTCAAACTCCCAGTCCTCCTGATTTAGCCTCTCAGTGCTGCGATTACAGGTGTGTATCACCATGTGCTGCTTATGTTTTTTGAATTATTGTATTTTATTAGTCTTTCTTGCATTTTAGATAGATCTTTTGCCATGTATGATTTTATAACAGTATACATTGGTTATTGGGAAAAATACCGGTTCAAGGAATTAGACCTTCCAAATGCTGAAATGTTTAATTATACAATTATTAAAACATTTGGCCAAGCATGGCGGTGTACACTTGTGACCCTAGGCTTTGGAAGGCTGACTAGGAAAACTGGAAGAACAAGGCCAGCCTGGACTACAGAGGAAGACTGTCTCATCCAGCACCCTCCACATAAAAAAAAAAAAAAAAAAAGCCAAATGCCAGGTGCGGTGGCACATACCTTTAATCCTGGCACTTGGGAGGCAGAGGCAGGCAGATCTCTGTGAGTTCAAGGCCAGCCTGGTCTACATAGCGAGTTCCAGGACAGCTGGGGCTACAGGGAGACCCTGTCTCACAAAAACCAAAAACCAAAACAAAACAAAAAAACCCTGAAATACTACATTTGTTGATATCACCAATAATGTAATCAGAAAAAAATGTTCAAGAATTGGGACGCTGCCAAGCTTACGGTGGCAAAAACAAGTTCCATATTTTAATTTTTACTTGTTTGCTCAAATTTTATCACTGGTAACAAATATTGCTAGTTATTTTACTTGAAATGACAGCCTTCATTCATTTTCAAGAAATGCCTGTCAAACACTGTGAGAAAATGTCTGCCGAATCTGAACAACCACAGTCTATCACTCAGTCTTTTAAGTTTAAAAAAGGGTATTCTGTGAGAGTGGAAAAAACAAACTCATTCGGCTTGCAACTCAAATTCAAGGGCTTTTTTTAGAGACAGCCATCATATTTGGTAAACAGAAGCATTTCATAATGGCTACTTCCCATTTCTTCACAAAGAATATTAAAAGTACATGTTCTCAAGGTTGAGACTTAACAAAATTAACATTTTTTTACTGTTCCTTGGAGACCAAGGTTAGATGGAGCTGTTTCTTGTTTGTTTGTGCTGCTGTTTGTTTTTCTGTGCACACATGGCCCTGAAGAGCACAGTATGGCTTGGTACCACTGTCTTAATTCAGCAGTTTTACCCATCATTGCTACTGCACCATTACTGAAGATCTCACTACAGTGAAAAAAGCACAGATGTTGCACAGAGAGAACTTGGACCTCAAGGGCTTCTGGAGGCTCTCAGTATCCCCTAGAGGTCTCTGACTACTCTTCGAGAACTAGTGATGTAAATAACCAGGCCTTACGTAGCCTTCAGGAGGACAGAGGCAGCAGAGACAGCAGGGTCTGTATTGATTCCCAACACAAGGCATTCACACTCATTGGTCTCAGCACAGAACAGCCTCCTGGGACTGGAAGTATCTGCTCCCCAGCTAGCTTCATGTTCCATAAGTCTCAATGCTTATCTCAGATGCGGAAATTCCAAAGCAACTGAGTGCACTTCATGGTAGAATTTAATTTGGTAAATGAATTGAGGCCAGAACTTGCCCAGAACATTTTCAGGTATAATGTAATGTTAAGGAACACAGAATTTGGTTTTTAACTAGTAAGGACTTCAAGGCCTTTAAAAAAAAATTATGTGTATGAGTGTTTTGCCTGTATGTATGTTAAGTGTACCCATGTTGTGCAAAACTTTCAGAGGCCAGAATTGGGGGTCAGATCCTCTGGAACTGGAGTTATGGATAGCTGTTAGCCACCATGTGGGTGCTAGGAATGGAACCCAGGTGCTCTGGAAGAGCACCCAGTGCTCTTAACTGCTGAGCCATCTCTCCAGCCTTTTGCCATTTACTAGCTGTGTGACCTTGAGAAAATAACTGAAAATCTCACTGCCTCAATTTCTTCAACTATAAAATGGGACAATAACAGTGTCTATTACAGTATTAAATAAATTAATATATAAAAATTCTTTGAATGACATATGATGCATAGCTCTATTAGTTATTATTACTATGCAGGTGCTGTAGAACCCCCCATTTAGGATTTCTCCTAAATACTATTGAATACTATTGAATCAGAGAATACTGAAGCCATCAAGAAGCTAGGTGCTAGCCAGGCATAGGGGTGCACACCTTTAGTCCCAGCACTTGGGAGGCAGATAGATGTAGGTAGATCTCTGTGAGATCGAGGCCAGCCTGGTCTATGTAGCAAGTTCCAGGACAGCTGGGGCTACAGGGAGACACTGTCTTAAAAAAAAATGAATATTGTGAGAAACAGAAACTTGAAAATGTAGGTAACTTGCAGGTCTATAGACATAAGAGGAGACTTTCTGGAATAGGAGGAAAGAGCTGTGCAGAGCAGAATGCTCAAGGTCTTTTTGGTTTACTGATGGAGAATGTCAAGGACTTCAGTTAAAACCTTCCTTCACTTTGTTAACCAACACACTGATAAGTGAATTTCTACCTACTGTATTTAAAAGTCTGTAAGTATATCCCCCCCCCCCCCGACGTGGCTTAAAGGTGACCATTATATAGCACCAAAGCATCAACCCATCCATTCCTTACCAAAAAAGTTTTTCATGATGAGTCAGTGGCAGCAGCTGGGTAGGTCTCAGGCCTCCCAGAAAACTAGCTTAGGCAATTGAAAGCTGGAACCCGAACCACACAAGATGTTTGCTCAAATACCTTGTGTGGATATGTTATTTTTATCTTTACTGAACTTTTTTTTTTTCTGGCAGCTATGTAGTCTGGCTCATAAGATCATTATAACTAATTAAGAGTTTTAGGCTAAATCTGCAGTTGAATGATTTCAAGGATCCTCTTCATGCAATTCAATATCTGAATTGCCACAATTATAAGGCTGCAAAGAAATGAAAAATCACCACAACAAGAAAATGGTAGCAAGGAACTGACCACTTCAAACTGTAGCCCTTCCTCACACATCCTTCACACTAGAAACTGACAATATCCCATAGGACCGAACAGCCGAATCATAGAGTGAAGGATATAATATTTTATCCTTCTAGAATGTTGCCAAGATAGTTATGCCAAAAAATGGAAATCTTGTCATTGTTTATTCTGAGTTTAGTTCATAGTTGTTATTATAATCCAAATTTTATTAAATAAGACAAAAGTGAGTTATATTGGTCTTATTTTCATTTTTCAAAATTAAATCCTAATCAGCCTTCTTCCTATTCTCCCCTCGACCTATACAGTAAAAAAACCAAAAACCAAAAACAGTGGATTTTTGGTTCCTAAGTGGGCTTTTTTCTGATACAAAGTGTGCTGAAATAATGAGCCTATTAAAGAAACAAATGCTCGGTATCTGCTCCAAGAGTGCACCCTAGCCTCCGTCAGGATTCAACAACCCCATCCTTTCCCTCTCCTGAATCAAGGCATTTCTGTAAAAAGAACAGTTCCATCCTGGGTACAGAAGAGTCTACTCTAGCAGTAAATGCAAGCCTATTTTTTTTTTCCTGGAAATACAGTCATTAACCTACTGGTAGAAGTATGAAGCATCTGTATCAGCCATGGCGGGGATCACAGGATCTAATTGCTATTAGCTCTAAAGCACCAAACAACTGCAGTTGAACTCATCTCTGGTTTAAAAATTACAAATTTTCCCTCACTAGGAGTAAGTCACCAGCTTTTAAGACAAGTGCTTATTATATACCTGGTGGATATAAATAAAATAATTCGCTTCCCTTTGCCACAAAACAACTCTACTTTAGTTATCTAAAAGACAAGATAAATCAGAGACCAGGGATTATTACCAACTAAGGAACTGTGTTTGAAGTTATTCGGATCACTCTCAAGATTTACAATGAATGATGATATTAAATATGCACTGAGTACTGAGAATTCCAGACCTCTGAAAAGACAGGATTCATATTTACAATGAATCTTCAACCAAAGACTTTCTCACTTGCATGAGTGCATGTACACAGATTTCATCTGTGGGATATATTATTTATGATATCTATCATAGTTTCAGAACTTGACTTCTTTGACCTGGCCCAAACAGCTCAGATATGGGACAGCAGCTGGGCAAGGAATATGGAGGATGTTCTTTATGTCACCTTCCTTGAATCATCTTCCTTTCTCACATACTAACCTCACCTCAATTTTCTTCTTCTTCTCCCCCTCCCCCTCCCCCTCCTCCTCCTCCTCCTTCTTCTGTGTGTGTATGTGCATGAGCACACGGGACAGGGGACAACTTGTGGACGTTGTTCTCTCCTTCTACCATATAGGACCCAGGGTTCAAACCCAGAGAGTCAGGCTTAGCTACAAGCACCCTTGACCACTGAGCCATCTCTCCATCTCTCACCTCAACTTTTCTTAATTCCCTCATATGATTTTCACAAAAGAGCCCTAAAACTGGTTTTACTTTGGCTTCCAGCAACAGTTGACAATTGTCTCTGCATTTCTAATTTTGCTTTAAAGCCCTTCTAAGTGCAAATTTTGTGCCAACACCTATAAAAAGCACATGGCAAATACAGATGAGCATTTCCCTTATTGAGAATTTTACCTCAGTTCTGACTCTGTGAATAGCATTTTAAAATCTGAAATAGGCAGAGAGGAAAACATGAAGTCTTTTAACATGTGAAAAGGCCAATGAGTCTGGACGTGCCTGGATACTTACTCTCTCACACAGCTCTTCAAATGTGCAGTCGGCAATGGTTCCACAGGCTTTATTCAGCCGCAGCTCTCTGCCTTGCACTTTTAGAATCCTTGGTCTAGTTACTATGGGAACATGAACAAAGACTCAATCTTGTCTGGATAATTACTATAAAATTCATCTCTTACAGATAGGAAATGCATAGCTTGATGAATAATAGCACATGATTCAACACATAAATTAGACAAAATGCTGATACAATGACTGCCACTTGAGTGTGGCATCAACCCATATACAGCAATGGAACTTATTAATTGGTCAGTGGAGATTAGGCATTGTGTTCTAAATGTATTCTCTTTCAAGAGAAATTAACTTACGTACAATCATTTTGTTTCTGAGCCAGCTCATCAAACAACTTATCCATGACAGCCTCCACATCAGCTTCACTTGTGCTACAGTGAAAAGAATAATAGAATATGAAATTAATAACACTTGAAGCCAACATCAAACAGCTGCCTGAGCCTGCTTAGCTTTTTGCCCATAAAAAAAGAGAACAGGATGTTAGCTCTAAATACAAACATTAGATTTAGAATACACTTAAAAGCAGAGAATATTAACTCTCAGGTAGATGATTCTGCCTTATTTGCATACACTGAAAGACTTCTGTGCTTCTAGCTGTTTCCAGTAATGAGACGATACAGGCAGAGCAAATCCATTAATACTATGTGTACACAATGAGAAGAAAGCTTCTGGCTCTCTCTTGCATGCAAAACAAGAGCAAATAGACAAGGCAGTCAAGCATCCAGCACAGTGTCCTTTGAAATCTCCACTGAGAGGGTACACGTGAAATTAAATATTGAGTCTGCTTTTAAAAAAAAGAAAAACCAAGTCAAGCTATGCTGAGAGGATCAAGCACTCAGAATTAAGTCACTAGCTTCGAAATACCAACTCCATCTGCACATCAGTAACTTTATCAGACTTCTGTAAGTCTGAAGACATAGAAGAACAGACTCCTGTCAGTATACAGATAATTACAGACCACACAGTTCCTTTCAAACGTGTCCTTGTTGGAAATTCCAAAAAACTCTGTCCTTCTGTGGCGCCTCTACCACAGCAGCGATGGAGTTGGTCTCATCACACAATCTTTTGTATTCTAATTAGAAATCACCATATGGTTTAAGGAGCTCACATATAGAAATGTGATAATGCTGTGGCCTTTTTTCTTCTCACTTTTTTTTTCCAAAGAAGGGTTGATAAATTAACAGTCAACGAAAGAAAATAACTGGTAGAAGAAAGGCTATTTTTTAAAAAAAACTTCAAGTGAAATGTAAGTTTACTATGGTTTTACATACAAACTTACACAGGATGACCCGTCAATATGCTTAATTGTGACATATCAATCTTAACTAATTGTGGAAGCAACTGACACCCACTTTAATAAAGTCTTATCAAAAATTAGTCTTTTTTTCTTTAGATTAGGTTTAAACTAAACAAAATTCTTCTTGGCATGTTGCAGGCATTTAACACACAACCAGTTAATTCCTCAACTGTTGTAGAGCAAATGACTTAAAACTGCAACAGAACATGTTGTTATAGGGGAGTGGAACTGTCACATTCCACACAGCAACCACCACACCTCCACAGATCTTAAAAATATCATTTGTGGTGGTCAACTGGGTAAGGGAAATGTTATTTGGATTCACAAAACCTTGTTTGGCCTTTGAATAAAGCCGTATTAAAATAACAAAATGATACTACAGAATTTGAAGTGTCTGGTTAATGATCTCCTTTTTTTTTTTTTTTTTGAGTCAGTCTCCCTATAGTCCCAGCTGGTCTGAAACTCCCTATGTAACAGGTCTGGACTCGATCTCACAGAGATCTGCCTGTCTCTGCCTCTGGAGTGCTGGGATTAAAAGCATGCACCACCATCCCTGGCAATGATCTACTTTTATATTTAAATTTAATTTACCGTATTTTTTATTATTGTGTGTATAGAAATTTATACAGACAAAAACCAAAAAAAAAAAATTTTTTTTGTCTTTTTGAAGCAGGGTCTCCCTGTAGCCCCAGCTGTCCTGGAACTCACTATGTAGACCAGGCTGGCCTTGAACTCTCAGAGATCCACCTGCCTCTGCCTCCCAAGTGCTGGGACTACAGGTGTGCGCCACAATGCCTGGCTAAAAAAACCAAAAAATTTTAAACTCTATAATTAATTAATTTGTGTGTGTGCATGTACCTGTGTGTATATGGAGGCCAGAGGACAAGCTGTGGGAGTTGGCTCTCTCTTCCAACATGTGGGTCCCAGGGATCAAACTCAGGTCATCAGGCTTAACAACAAGTACATTTACCCCCTAGCCAGCTCACCAGCCCCCCCAAATAATTTAAAGATATCAGAAACCACAAAGACAATTAAATATGAATGTTATACCACATGAATGTTCAGACATCATTCTTGAGACTCCATTGAACCATTTCTACCTTGTAATGATAATATACACATGCATAAATTTTAGAGAAGTGATGTGTATGTGTAGTGTAAGTGTATATGTGCTGTGTGTGTATGTGTACCTGTAGGTAATGCAGTGCATGTATAGGCCAGAAGTTGACTTCAGGTGTCTTTCTCAGTTGCTCCCCACCTTATTTTTGGAGACAAGGTCTCTACTGAAACTGAAGTTCACCAATGGTCTAGGCTGACTGAGCAATGAGCTCCAGAGGACTATCTTTCTCTATGCTGCACCTTACACACCTCTGCACATGGCTTTTTATGTGGGTGGGAATCTAAATTCAGGTCTTCATGCTTGCATGGCAAGCAATTTACCAGCTGAGCCATCTCCCAGCCATGATTTTTTTTAAATAGGGTTTTTCCCACTCATTATATACCTCAGGCTGACCTTAAACTTGTGATCCTCTCAACTTAGCCTCAAGAGTACCTGGTTAATGATCTCTTTTAAAAAATAGGGGTGGGGGGCAGGTCACAGGTTGTGCTTGTGGAGGTCAAAGGACAACTTTTGGGGGTCAGTTCACTCCTTCCACCATGGGTTCTGGGATTAAACTCAGGCTGTCTGGGCCATGCTCCTATCATCTACTTGTTAAAGGATATAGAAAGGAGAAAGTAGAATGGGGTATAGCTTAGCAGTCAGAACTTGCATAGCAGTGCAAGACCCTGAGGTCAATCCCCAGCATCCCCCCGCCACACACATAAAAGGATAGAAAGTCAGCCTCTCCTCAGGTAGGTGTTTGTCTACAATAGGGGCAGCCTTGAATTCTGAAAAATAATGTGTTTGGTGAATATATAGTTGTTTACAAACTTCTTTGGTGGTGATTTTTTATCTTATGTTGTACTATAGTACAATTATAGTACATTATGTTGTACTATAGTACATTATTAATGTATGGATCAAAAGATTATGTTCAGACCTCATCTCTTAAGTCATCTGTAAAACTAATATATGTGTTATCATTCACAGTCAATTACATGTGGAATAACAAAACAATAATAATTATTAGTAATAGTAGTATTATCTTGTCTTTTTGAGACAGGGTCTCCTATAGCCCCAGCTGGCCTGGAACTTGTTAAAGAGACCAGGTTGGCCTCAATCTCACAGAGATTCACCTGCCTCTGCTGGGATTAAAGGCATGTGCCACCATGCCCAGCTTTGTATTTATGTTTTTGAAGACAAGGTCTTGCTATGTAGCCTAGGCTGGTCTATAACTCACCATCTTCCTGCTAGAATTATAGGACTGTACTACCATACCCGGCACAAAATTATTTTCATTTTAACATTATCCTGTAAGAATTCTATTATACTACCATGAACAGATTCTCAGAAGCTATAAGATAAAATTTGTTAGTGTTAAGTAACCTAAAAATAAAAGCATTTTATAAAAGCATTTATGTAATCTATGACTGTTACCCACCTAAACTAACTTGTACTTGGCCTTAGAAGTAAGTTTCAGTGGTGTAGAGGACAGAAGCATCTGCATACTCTCTTAAAAGCAGTAGCGGCTAGTACATGCTTTGGAGGTTTCTAGACTTAACTAAATTGATATAAAATAAATAAGAACATGAAAGGAATTCTCACCAAAAATGGATATCTTCAAATTCTTTAACAAATAACTTGTCAGAAACCCTCATCTCACATTCTACTCGGACTTCAGTCTTTTCTACTAAAGAGAAATAGCTATTCAAGTTCACTAAATATTTTTAAATAATTTTACTTATTACTTTGTACCTATACACGTTGTGTGCATGCAGGCATGTGTGGTCCATGGAGCATGTGGAGGCTGGAGGACAACTTTGTGGACTCAGTTCTCTCCTCCCACCTTTATGTGGATTTAGGGAACCAAACTTGGGTCATCAGACTTGTACAACAAGCACTTTACCACTGAACCAGCTCACCAGCTCTATTCAATTTTTTTAAAGATGAGAATTAGAAAAGCAAAGAGAAAAATAGAAATTACCTACTTACAGTTATCTGAAAGGTTTAGTTATCTACAGCACATTTCCACATTGAATTCAAACACTTTGCATATATTTTAGGTGATGCTAAACTCTCAGAGTATCACACAGAGAGCAGCAGAAGTTATCCTTTGCTGAGCTATCACGCAGCAGTGAATTTCCTCATTCTCCTACCACCTCACCTTGGAGGTTCTATCATCATCTCACTTTCACAGAAGAGAAAATTGAGACTTTTAAAAAATATATATATATTTTTTTAAAAATATATATTTTATTTATTATTTTTATCTTAAACTCTCAGAGTATCACACAGAGAGCAGCAGAAGTTATCCTTTGCTGAGCTATCACGCAGCAGTGAATTTCCTCATTCTCCTACCACCTCACCTTGGAGGTTCTATCATCATCTCACTTTCACAGAAGAGAAAATTGAGACTTTTAAAAAATAT